ATTTTTTATACTTTTCCTCGTAAAACTTGCGAAATCTCGTCCACATACTACCTATATTTAACGATAGCAAACAGTTCTGTTAACCGACTGGCGGTGGCGCCGGCGCCGGATTGACATTTACACAGGGACCTTGTGCGGAACAATTTGCGAACAATGAGAGACCTGTCATATGTTCCCGGAACCCGTCGCGAAGGGGTGACCTCAGCCACCGACCTCTACACTTGCAAACGTGCCGAGTTACACAAAAGATTCATGTAAACAGAAAATATTGTTTGGAGGATATATAGAAGTTAGACAACTGTCTTGTGTAAGATTATTGATGTAAGTTATTATAAAAGTACTCGGGGAGAAGACGTTGACAGGAAGAAACAGTGAAAATAAATAAAAGAAAAAATAAACGACTATCACATTATAGAGACCCAAGATATTCCAACTTTAAAGGAGCTGATGAAGTATTTATTTATTTATACTTTATTGCACACACAGAAAAAAAAGTATGCTACTGGCTAAAGGATGCTCTGATAGACTTCAAGACAGCCTTCATGATCATGTAACATTATGATGTGGACGATATCGGCGTGACGTCCTAATAAGGTACACCATTGTAATTGCTAGTAAAATGTTATTGTGTCGGTCAAACTAGTCAGTTTCACCGACACAACACACACAAGTTGTAGGAACTATCAGGAAGTCTCCTGATAGTTCCTACATAAGTTAATATAGTATTAGTCTTGGTCCTACACAATAACAAGCCCAAGCTCAAAGAAGTAGGTAGTTGTAAACATAATCGATCCTTGATCCCATAGACCTTTATTTCTGTTGTAAAGTTTGTACCTTTTAGAAGCTATTGTTCGAAATGCGTAAAACTATAACATTGTGTACGTACAATCGCTTAAACAACTCGTCATACGATACGTTCAATCACAAAAATAAACGCTTCCTGAATGAAAATCTTGGTTGTAACAAGGAGTTTAGTTATTTTTTCTAAGTATTTTATATTACGCCCGAATACTGAAATGCTTCTTAACTTTGAGTTGCATTTAAATATCGTTCTGTCTCTGTCATTTTACAAAGAATATGTAGTGACAGAACTCTAAACTTCGTCTTTAGTGATGTTTGAGTACCTACTTTTGACTTACTACTTACTGCATTATATGATTGTACTATTAGGCGAGTAATTCAAATTCAGATTTAAAGGTCATTTGAGAAAAACGATTTTACTCATCAATGCCTGTTTATTGTCTGCTTAATAAATGACTTCAAGGAAACGAAAATGATATACAAACGCCCACGGATAGGAATGGACCAGAGTCTACCAGATTTTATACTGGATATTGTCTAATATTTGAGTCATATGGAACATTCGGGGAAAATGTTTTCCAGGTTCTGGATATGATCAACAGCTCCATGTAATTAATAGGTATTCACCTTTCGGGATTTATCTTTGCCTTGCATCGTTACCCTGTTCATAGCAGTCTGCTTATACATAGATGCTAAGGCTATTGTAGGATTAGATTTAGGTTTAGCTTAAATATAAGTTACAAGACAAATAAATCATTGAATCTATCTACAGTATCCACAGCCCAAGTTATTGCTAGATTAGCTAGAAATCAAACATTATCCTTAAAGTTACGAAACAGCGAGAATACAGGCAATGTCGCGATCGAAGATTAGTGTGAAACAAATTGCTTAACCCGAAGTTCCCACAAGTGCGTCAGTACCCGATTAGGTAACGATCAGCCGGATCTGCAGGCTCATTAAAAGAAAAAAGATCATATCGCAGACAATAGAGCACTCGGCGACCGAAAGTGATAGTCTAATAGATATTATAGTGAAGCGATGACGATAGTGACCAGTAAACTGGCCAGTCATTACTCATTACGGAATACTCGCGGTTTTCCTAACAACTAATTGGTTCCTTTGTGTAGGCACTAACAATCTGTTGCCATGAATAAGATCAAGACCAAGTCCTTCTACTGTACACATATTTATAGCACTAATGATAGCCATTCTGCAGATAATAACGTGGTATAATAAAACATTTCTAGGCTTAACATTTCTGCTCCAGGGCAAGGCAGAGTGCTTAAATTTCAATAAACAAACTGCTAGCAATACGATACGGGCTTTCTCTTTGAGTAAATTATCAAAATTACAGTTTATTACTTAGGAAGGCGGAGTGTTACAACAAATCCATTCGGATACACCTGAGCGGCACTTAAACAACAGATCATTCGTCATTTACAGTGAAATTATAGGGAAACGTAGAACGGTGGCAGTTTATGTTGTTTTGAATAGCAAACGGAACGCGAACTTCAAAATTACCGCCATTTGTAATACATCAAGCTGCGCCGGCGGCTGCGCGTTGCTCCCTGGCTTGCGGTTGTTTGACAAATGAAGTCGTTGTTCTTCCTGCACGGCGCCACCACATCTTACGAGCCGGAATGTCGCGTGTAGATACCTTACACTATGCCACGTTCACACCTGACTCTGACCTGAGCAGTGAGTGATGGCGACACGCGGACAAATAACTTAGCTCAATTGACCTGCGTTTCTCCATAACGACATTGATTGACACTTTATTAAGAAACATTTTGATGTCAATAAGTATCATAGTCATTATATTTGTAGCCTAGATATCAAAAGTGGGTAAGGCAATACCTAAGTATCCAATATCAGCATTGTCACTTTTGTTAAGTAGGTCAATAGCTAACGGTGCTCGCTTTGATTAGTCATTATTTCCATATAGGGTTTTCCTTAACATAGGAGCGGTCGTATTATATAGGTACTGCTAAGCAGTGGAACAGTGGCGAGTGGCACCAGGCGGCAGCATTATACATAATTGGCGTCACTGACCTACGGTAAACATTGCGTCTCCATTCAAGGTCAACAGCCTTGACGGTTTATCGTTTCCAATAAGATGTCAGTATACGTAACATATTACAGTTTGAACAAGCTTTATTGGTTGCTCATGTTTATATTAAAGTAAATGAGAAAGAAGTTAGGCTAGAGATAATGCAAAAGTTAGGTAGTAGTGTTTGTTTTAATTTTTATATTATAATATATTACTACATTATTACTGAAATAACAAACTTATGAATAATAATAATAATTACTGAAAAGTGACGAAGGACAAAAATACACAAACAGCGAATACCGAAATGAAATATTTAACACCAAACCAGATGAAGTCATTACAAATTCGTTCACACAATCGAGAAAATCCCAAAAAATAATTAAAAACATTCATTTCGTAACCTTGGCGGCACCTTGAACGGCAAACGAAAATGCAGACGAGACGAAACAAAGGGTGAGATAAGAACAGCTCAGGTCATTTAATACAGAAGGCCAGGGGCGAACTCACATTCTTAAGGAGTTACACATTCTCGAGTATGTTTTAATTGTAATGCTTCAATTCCAAATTGGAGCTAAAACCCCATGTAGTTTGGAAGTATAAGTTAATGACGTTCACCATTTTTTAATTCGGTATAAGTTTGTAAAGTAAAAGTCCCTCTCCACATAATTATGCATCAACAAACATACGTTAATTGTTCCTTTTTTAGGTTCCAAACTTAATAATCCACAACCGATTAGGATTTCGGGTCAGGTTTGCAATAAATCGTCCGTAATCCGTCCCTGCATAAAACATTTACATACACGGCCAATGATGTACTGAACTGATTGTAAGAATAGTACTGTGGATTTAAGTAAAAACTTATAATGGAAGTCGGAATGTTTGCACCCACTCCCACATATCCGGGCTCAACATATCCTACCTATTATGCTTGAGTTTTTATTTTTTATTCTGTCTTGATAAAAGTCCTAAGCGCATTGCAGAGCACGTGGGTTTCGTTGGATTGTAATAAAACTAAAGCGGTGGCATAAAAATATTTCGGGGACAATTAACGAAACTTCTAGATACTTCCAATCTTTCCCGAATTACGAATTTGGGGGAAGATGCCACCAAAATTCCCATGATCATAAGACATCTCGAGGAAGATGAGAATATGCCATTGTTTTCCTAGTTCATATGTCCTAGCTAATAATCCGGTGAACTACTGTCAAATGTTTGTCATTTATATTAAAAACCTTTTAATACGACACGATGCAAAATTTACTTTTAATACATATTTTTTTTAAAATGACTGCACGGTTGGTGCGGTGGCTGGGCAACCGGCTGCCGTGCAACGAGTCGCGGGTTCGAGTCTGGGTGTCATGTGTATGTGAACTTGTATGTTTGTAAACGCACCAACGGCACAGGAAAAAATCATTGTTAAAAGAAAGTCCCAATACCCAAACAAATAATTTTTGGAACAGATTTGCATAAACCGCAACGTGTAGTAGGTATTTATGCAGACACTAAACAGAACCTAACAACTATTTTCAAAAGTAAATTACGAATAGAAATGACAATGTTAATAGACCACAGTGCGGTCGCACCTGACGTTACTCGTTCGTAGATACACATTGTTTACGAGGTCGATCCATTCGACCTAATTTGTTTTGTCTCGTTCAATATTATTAAATCACCATCGGAAATACCAGACGATAGGCAGCTATATCTGATTCCGACTAAGCTAACAGTCTACGAAACTGATCAATATCCTAACTTCTGTATCAAAAATTTAACCTTACAGTGACAAATCCAATTTAATATTCAATCTATAGAATAATATTACTACTATAGGTAACTACTAACATACTATTGATGCATCGAATGGGTAACCTGCGCCATCTAATATTTGACTAACAAATATCTTTGTTAAAATAACGTTGCGCATACAGCGTCTTTTGAATACTTAGCCACGTTTATTACATGTCAGTGACCGGTGCAAGGAAACCCCGGGTGAACAAGCCCGTGCTAGTAGTTATACTTACTTGTTGCAAGGAGACAACGGGCGACCCCGCACATGCGCACTTACCCTCATTGATTTTTCTCACTTTGACAGTTCCACCTATGTTTTGAGCCATCGCTCGCGTACCAACAACAAAGTAAACAAAAAATGGCTTTAGATTTTTCTGCAACATATAAATTACTAGTTTTAGGTGATTCTAATGTTGGTAAAACGTGTATAGTGCACAGGTATTGTGATGAGAGATATTACGATATATACATATCTACTATAGGTGAGTAAATGTTTTTATTTTTAGTTTTACGAGCCTTTGTCAGACAGGTGATGCTGTATTTTAGTGGCTTTTTGTAACTTAACGAATCTGTGATTAAGTTTTGTATTGCGGATGTAAAGTGCGAAACAATGGAACGTGTGACGTGAAATAGCTTTTAAATATTTATACAGTCTAGAGTTCCTTCCAGACATTGTACAGTTAAAAGTTAGTGCTCGACCTACGTTAGTAAGAAATGTACTTTTACTCAAATACAGCTTGTTTCTTCGAAACGTATTTCATATCTTTTTTGCTATAATTTACAACCAACCTAGCTGCTAATATTTATGTTGTATCATTGACATCTTACTAACAGCTTTTGTGTACTCAAGTGCATTGTATTTCCCATAAGCTTAGAAATTCTATCAGTGTTCATGACAAAATCAAGACGGTACCTTTTTACCCAGATGATAACATAATATTTTGTGTTTTAGTATCATTTTATATTAATTTCAGCGTAACCATCTTTTGTTGCAATTAATTCATAAATAAACGTACCTATCTATTCTATCTTATTCAAAATTAAAGCTAATATAGCTCTGGTAATACACGTTTAAAACAATTTTATCAATAACTAACAATCATCTGATGGTGCTGTGAATATTATAACGTAAATCAGTTTTAAATGTTGAAACTATTCTTTGTTGCGCTCTACTGATTCTAAAAGGATAATTATCATTGATAATTAGCCTTTTACATTTGAAGTTACGCTCTGATGCACTGCAAGTTTTTTACGCAATGATTTGCTTATTTTGATACCTTACCTGCTAAAGAATAGATGTTTCATCTTGTCATTTATTTTAAATAACATCCCTACATCACATAAAATGTCGAAAGAAGGTAACATAGATGTGAATCGCACTTTAAACACAAGTAGTATAACAAGGCAAATGCAACAAACAACAATAAAAGAAACTAAGCAATTTCACGACATTTACGATGTGGTTAATCCTGTGATTTGACCACATGTGGGCGTGGGTATGCCACCGTGATGTAGCCATAGAATGCAGTTAGATACCAGTATCTACAAATATTGTTTGGAACGGTCCATCTTAAAAAGCTATTAATTTTTGAAGACACCACTGCTATCTACCTAACTAATAACTATCAAACTAATTACGAAACCTGACTTGAGGTAGTAATCTGCCATATTTTGTAGTAAAAATTACCACACAATAGCTTCAGTAACACTAACCGCACTTACATAACAATTCCAGGCATAGACTTCAAACAGAAGATAATAAATTTAGACGGCGTGCCAATCAAGCTCCAAATATGGGATACGGCTGGACAGGAGAGATTTCGAACACTGACCACTGCGTACTATCGCGGCGCTATGGGCATAATACTGATGTACGACATCACTAATCTTGAGTCATTCAATCATCTCTCTTATTGGCTGAGAAACATCCAAGAGGTAAGATAAAGCTATTGAGATTTCTTAAATTAATAACTAAAAGATAATTTCGATGTGAAGAAGAGAGAGTATAAAATTTGACTGTATATTTATCAATGATATACGAAATGAAGAATTCGAATTGATTGTAAGACATATCTAGGTAATGATAGTAGCTTAGACATCATCTATTAGGAGATAACGTTCCATTGTTGTTATTAAAAGCAAATCTGATGACCAGGTTCCATTAAGAAGCTCAAAATATTTAAAAGAGTCTTAGAATTCAAATGGCACATTTACAATCAAGAATCTAACTAAAGGTAATGAAAACAATGGTAGTTATAATTTTTCTCTATATAGCCGTCATAGGTAATTTGACAAGGTCCAAAACCATAGCAAAGAGTAAGTATATCGACTTGCCCTGACGAAAGTTCAGCTCCGAGCCGACAGGAAACTATCCTCCTTGGCTTAATAATCGAGGGAATGTTTCTAACCTATAATACTATGTTTACAGTATGCATCTCCCGATGTCATCAAGGTGTTAGTTGGTAACAAGTGTGATGTGCACGAGAATCATAGAGCAGTTCCCAAGGAGAGAGGTCAAAAGGTAATTTTCAATACCAATTAACCTAAATCGCTAGTCTAATGAATTATCTATCCACAATTCGATATAGTTTTAACCTTCTAAACAATTAACACTAACTAATTCTCACAGTTATACACAGTAGTAGTGGTAAAAAAGCAAGATAGTCACGATTTTTATCAATAACGCTGCAATTATAAATAATTAGTGCTCCGATACTAGTTTATCCTCAAATTTAAATGCGAATGAAGGTTGACTGTTAATTTAATTGCTTAATTAAGATCTAATCCAAAGTTTCGTTAACAATATAAGATACATAAGTTGAGTCCTCAGGTGAATTTTAATAAACAGCATAGGTATATGTAAATGAATAAATAAACATAATATGAAATCCTATATAGGGTTGAGAATAGTATCATTCATACAACGACAATCTCTATCAGTCAACCATAGGGTGATGCAGAAATAACAGTAGGCCGTCCAAACAAACTTGATACATTCTTAAGAAAATAGCACTCTTAAAATAATGTACATAAATATTGTAATTTTGGTACTAGGTTATCATATCATCTACTAAACGGTTCACAATGACTTTTAATACGCAGATAGCGGATGACTTCGATATGCCGTTCTTCGAGGTATCGTGTAAAAGCAACATAAACATTGAAGAAGCGTTTCTGACGCTAGCCAGGAAAATCAGAGAATATCGAGAGACTAAGGTATTGTTCTTTAAACATTTTTATGCATGGGACACATGGAGTCCCATATTCAAGACTACAGCAAGTTTCTGTAAAGCCTATGAAATGGATAATCAACTAACACACATGTCAGTTACCAACGTTTTCAAATCACACGACATACTGCATTTCATAAAGAAAAAAACTGCATGTCCTTCTCATATATGTATAGAATCAAGAAGGTGATACACCACTCGACCAGCTAGGCAGTAAACAGCTGACTACTAAGCTGTTAATAGCATCAATGCTACTTGATACAAAAAAGCAGTACACTATCTCGTAGCAAATTATAGAAAACTGTTTTTAATACTTCGAAATGAGTACCGATTGAATTTGACTAGTTGGAAAGTACTTACTTAGGTATATTAGGTACCAGGCTGCCCAACTTAACACTTATCAGAGATTGAAATGTTGATCAGAATTGATGAGCCTTTAAAAATTATGTGTCAGTCCAATAAAATAAAACAAATCTAACTTTTGGGCCTACAGAACAAATGTCAGAAGAAATTAAATTTGTTGACTATACCAATTTCCTTAACATAAACTGGCTCTAAAATGGGAAATTACAATAATTATATTATAATGCTGTTTATTTATTGATGATTATTTCTTTCGCAGGCGGACGCTTTCGAGCTGAAGGAAAGAGACAACGTAATAAAGCCTTCTGAATCCGAGACAGACGTGTCAAAATGTAGCTGTTAGCCTAATGTATTTGTAGCATCCCCCGCGTTCATGTAGACCGCAATTGTTTGAACCATAATATTATTATGATGTGGGCTATATTTCCACCTGAGATACGGGTTTATCTTATTTATGGTTTCGATGGCAAGATTATAGGACCTCACTCACGATTTAGACATAAGACTACGAAGAATTGTTAATTAAAACAGTGAGAAATTATTTAATAAATCAAAACAAAGAAGAAGTCAAAGTTTTACCTACTTGAATTATTAGAAGTCAGTTAGAATCCAAAGAATAACAGAAAACAGACTTATATCTCAGATGTAAATATTGGCGATCGCCCAAATCGTGCGTCAGGACGATCAAAGAAAATTCGTTTTCTCATTGGTCAACAATTCCCCAGTTCGCTGACTAATCAGAAAACGGCTACTCTAGTCTTGAATTAAAGCCCTCTTACCGCTAAAAATAACATTTAGATTTTAGTTCAATTTGTCTTCTAATAATAAAGTTTTAAAAATGTAGTTCAACGGTAAGAGGGTGATCGCTTTATGCATTCTGTGTGCTAACTTAGCGGCCCAGTATGCATTCTCATGAATTTCAACATAAAACTCTTTACCTGTACGGAAAGTTTTTCCAATAGGTAAAGAGTTTGAGGTTTGCCACAGGGGTGCGTCCTGGGTCCAGCGCATATAAGACCCGCTCTAAAGCGCGATTTTAAGTGCACCCATAAATTAAATGAATTATTTACGAACATTCTCATTCCATACATGAACATTCTTTTATTTAAAGTGCAACGTGAGATACTCTAATAAGTCGACAGGAGGTGAATAGAACCAGCTTTATATGCCATTAGTGAAATTTGGTAAAATGCTAGGTATATATTAGATGTGGATTTCATTACTTACTAAGCCTACCTATTCATTAAAATATTTGAATTTCATGTAGTTAAACAACATTGTGGCATTGTCAATTTTAAGACAGGAAAATCATCAACTTTCACTAATAGTACACGTGGTCACATATCTTTAATACGACTCAGATGGTTTTTGGATAGAGTGAAAAAGTCAAGAAATAGATATCGATGGCCAAACAATTTCTGCCTTATTGTCGATAGGTAATATTGATATTTGCAAGTGGATATCGAATTAAATAAAGAATAAAGTTGGTTCTACTCACCTTCTTTAATTTGAACTTCTCCAAATATTCGACATCTACGGATACTGAGAATGCCTTTACCTAATGCTGTAGGTAGGTTTAAAAATAAAAAAAATGTATTTAAAATGAAGCCTACGAACTATCAGACTTGCTCAGCAAATATTATAGACTCGTGCACATTATTATATCTAACGAATTTAAAAAAAATATATAGGAAATCGTTTTGTATTAGATGCGTTTGTTGATAACTGCATTTTCATTCTGCGAAAGGTTACAACTAATGCGATTGTATTGGAGAAAATATTCTAAGCTTTAGATGTTTGTAAGTTATTAGTCAAAAAGTTGATACTGTTTTAGAAGATACATAATAGTAATCATAGTACTTAGGATTGTATGCAAATATCAGACGTCTTCATAATCAATTTCCCTTTATATCTGTGTACTTCAATCAATTTACATACCTACTTATTACCTATACCTAGGTAAATAATAATATCATCAGTTTTATTGTCCAACGACGCAAATGAATTTTAATATATTTGATATTATGATTGTACCTTAATTTATGGTATCTTAGAAATAAAAACGACGTGTCATTGCGAATTTCTCAGCATATTAAATCTAAAGGTAAATTGGTAAAACCAGCCTGAATTTGCGACTAAACATTTAACCAATTTTAACCAAATCAACCTTACGGATATGCATTAAAGCTTATAATGAAACAATTGTTATCATCAAGGCTCGTGTTGAAAAAACTAATAAGGATCATGTGAATGCAAAAATCATCTTAGGGCTGGTCCCAAGACTGCTGGACAGTAAAAAAATGTCGCTAGAAATTTTATCCTCGTACCAAGCTATGAGTATTAATCTTTTGTAATAAAATTATTATTAGCATAATTGCAAGTCATGTATTTTTTATTTAATTGCTATGTGCGTACCAACACTAACTGTCAAAATCACATTGACACAACGTTTAAATGTTGCACTAAAAAAAAATGCTAAAATGTTAGAACAACGAATTAATTAAATTACAAATATTGTCGAAACAAATCTTTCATTGTTGAATGCTCGGTATTGTTACAATAAGACCCTGTTTCAAGAAGTCTGATGAAGTTGCTGTTGAGTCTGATGAAGTACCTACCTTATTATTGGCGGATAATACGATAATTTAACAAATACCTACCTAGATATATATAGCTAGCTTCTGCCCGCGACTTCGTACGCGTAATCCCATTTTTTCCCGTCCCGTTCGTGATATTCGGTAAAAAGTAAAAAAAAAAAATTGGTTAAGAAGTATTCTATGTCGGTCTCCTGGCTCTAAGTTACCTCCCTACCAATTTTCAGCCAAATCTATTATGCCGTTTAGATTTTTGAAAAACCCAGTAATACTTTGTATTATCATTTTAATTTTACTTTGTATTATCATAACACTTTGTATGTATTATCAGTAGTAGCACGGAGTCTGGAAATGTGCCCGGTATATGGCAATAGGCTCACCCCCTATTACATGGGACTTATAACATAAATAGTGAAAAGTGGGTGTTACATTGTACAGTGGCATTAAGTGCCGAAATGTGCACCTCTGCCTACCCCTTCGGGGATAAAAAGGCGTGATGTTATGTTATGTGTGTCTATTATGCCGTTCTTGAGTTATAAGTGGTGTAACTAACACGTCTTTCTTTGATATATATAGATAATGTCAGTTCAGACTTCAGCTACTAGAAACTTAATCAGACATTGTGAAACAGCTGGCTATTCTGTAACTTTTAATTTGAAAGATGGAAGTGAACTCGTTCGCCATCTGTCATGTCATTGGTTCTGAGAATAATCTCGACCAATGAGTTCGAATTGATAGTTACAGAATACCTAACTGGCCCCAATAAATTTATTAGTTACCAATAATACTCGTTTCTGAATAAATGACGTACTCATTAGATCACTTCATGGTAGAATAGTCACCAATTCTGAGTATCTAGTGCGACTGTTTTACTTTAACGCGAAAGACACGTTTATGACTATCGATATTATGATTGGCTGCTCAAAATTAACCAACCAATCAGAGGGTTAGCGGTCACGTTCCAATCACAATAACGTAAAAATACTCGCACTCAGTATGCTGTTGTATTATTAAGCTTACTAACTCATTGTTTTGTTAAATAGTACCTACCCATATGTTAGTTGCTTCTCCAATGAAACGCACTAGCTGTAACATTAATACACTAGCACAACTAATCTAATATTAGATTTTAACAGTTCAATGTATAATAAAAGTTTTAATATAAAATCAATCGTTTATTTCATTTTTATTTCAGTATAATGGTCCTATATATACAGTATACAGTTGTTCTATAGGAATCTTAGTGTACTAACAGATATTTTATAGGCAAAGAGGCCTAATATTACGTTTGACATTAATTTAATTCTAAAAAGGATATGACATTCATTTTTATATTTAAAATACTAAAGACTATAGAAAACAGTATATCACGATAAATAATTTCATAAAACTAAATAAAAAAAAATATATCTCCTTAAAAAACACTAACACAGAATAATATTATGTATTTCTCTTTAACCCATTTATTCAAATCATTATGAAAATAAGAAATAAAATCTTATCTTTCAGTAAAATAAAAAAAAAAACTAAAACTTATTACATCACATCAAATGTCCCAAATACAAAACACTTTACAGCCTAAATAAACCTAATTTATAATTATTAATTACATTAAAATTATTATAAAAATAACATAAATACTGTTTAATGACTACAATTATAGTGGAAAGTACAGCAATTCTATTACACGACATTTATTTTGAAACATTAAAAACTATAAGATATTTTTAAATATCTCGTGATCACTACAAAACACTGAAATTGTCTGAATTTAATTAAATGTATGTTGTTTATAATTATGTATACGGTAATAAGATTATTAGATAGTCCATTTCCATAGAAAAGAATATAAACATTCATAGATAAATAATGCACCCCTATATCATACCAAAATATTCATTCACACTCATATACAATTTATAATCCCAATTTTTCCCCCTCTTTAGATAGTCACAGTAAAATGTCCGCTCATGCACACAACATTACAATTTCATTCAATCTTTCCTTCATTACAGACCAAATCAATTACTCAATAATTGCAAAAGCTTTTGTCTTTTTTTATATTGCACATATACACAAAATGGATAGAACAAAAATTTTTAACATCAACATAATTAAAACTCATTAATCAGTACACACTCACATGCACAGCATACCGCAATTTTTTATAGAAACGGACTTTATGTGTGCAATCATCGTAAAATAAGCTTGATTGTTAAATAAATAGTGAATAAAAATCTTTGGTGAGTTACTTATCAGAGGTTGAATTTTGTTCTTTTCCGTGGCACATGGGGCCGCAGAGTCTCCCTCCTTAACTCCGGTTGGTAGCTAACAGAAGCAGTGATAGACACACTTGTCTCATCATCTTCAGACTTTATTCCATTCTTCCTATATGGGACTGGGTCAATGTGTACCGTAGTGTCTGGCTCGATAATATCAGGTTCCTGTTTAACAGCAACCGGTGGCTCCGGTCTTACATTTGCGGCAGGTCTTGCGTTAATCTCAGGTCTAACATTCACCTCACGTCTTGCATTTACCTCAGGTCGAACATTCACCTCACGTCTTGAATTTACCTCAGGTCTGACATTCGCCTCACGTCTTGCATTTACCTCCGGTCTGACATTCACCTCACGTCTTGCGTTTACCTCAGGTCTGACATTTACTTCAGGTCTAACATTTACCTCAGGTCTAACATTTGGCACCGGCTCTTGTATTATGGCTTGGTTTTGATTTTGCATTTGCCTCCTGGAAATTTAGAAGTATAATTTAATTGACATATTCTTTTTCAAACAATTTTGTATGATTAATGTGTGGCGACACATGTCACAAAATCAATGGATGACGTCACAAGAATCCTACATCGCACATGCGAAGTTTACATTCGATTTAACACGGATAGAAAATCCCAAACGAGCAACTGTTGGGCAGAAAGCCCGCCAGGCACGATCACCTCGCCTGGTCGGAGGATCCTCCTTTTCCGATCTTAGGGAACTATACTCTCTGTTCCCTAAAGTGGTGACCCCGACGTGATCGGAAGCAACGGAGCAGATCAGAATAGATGTATGGTTTAATTACATTCCTATATGAAAATTAGTTTAGGGTGGACACTTGATAGTTATAGCTGTGAGATACTGATTGATTTAAAAAAAAAAATATTGCCAATTTAAAAGAATACAATTATGTTCATATACAATAATATCCATGGATAGAAACTACAGAAATTACTTACAAGATAGTGTTATCCAGATGTTTGACATTTTCAGTAATGGTCTTCGGAGACAGACTAAAGTTTTCATCATAAACTTTATGCTTGAACATGTGCTCAGCATCATTGAATGGTACAGTTTGCAGGTACCCTATAAAAGAGGTAAGTATGGTTTTGGAAAGGAAGAAATACAAATTAAAATTTGATTTTTATTACCTAGATCAACTTTCTTCTAAAAAATTTATCTGCCAATTAATGACCTTCTCACTCATCTACATAAGTGCCTGTTCTAATATAGAATTGCAGATACATGACAATAATGTTGTAGGTATTTAATAAGTTCAAGTATGATAAGATAGTAATTTTATGCATATTTATGATCACAAAGCTGGAGAGGAAGGTAGTGATCCTTTAAATAATCGTCCTTTATGGTTTTGTAAATTGTATGGTGTACAATAAAGATACTTCTATTCTATTCTATTCTCTATTGCAAACTGGAAACTGACTACAAATATAACTGTCTTTGGCAATGAAAGGGTGTTTTATTTTACTTACTGGCTACTTCCCCCGACTCTGCCTTATACTCTTCTATTTCCGTATCCTTCTTTATCAGCAAGCGACGCAGCTCACTCTGGCTTTCACGCAAATCGCAAATTGACTTCAGCAACGGCCGGGTGACTTTATGGTAAAACTGAAATGTATAAATATTGTTGGTATAAATAAAACTTTGGTCATGGTGGCCGGAGGTTTAAGACGCCCGCTTCTTATGCATGAGGGTGAAGGGTTCGAAACCTACCAATGGCAAGTACCAATGTGACTTTTTCAACGTTATATGTACTTTCTAAGATTATCTAGACACCACTGGCAAACGCTGAAGGAAAACATTGTGAGGAAACTTGGACTTATAATTTCTAACTATAAGTTTGAAATTGCCACCCCGCATTGAGCAAGCTTGGTGATTAATGCTCAAACCTTCTCCGTGTGAGAAGAGACTTTGCTCAGCAGTAGGCTTTTATAGGCTGTTGATGATGATGATGATGATGTAATAAAACTTGATAATTGAAATTCATTATTGTACTAAAATATTTGTACTTAAGTATGGCATATGGTAGCAAATTAAAAAATAGATTTCGCAGTGATTTTATGCTTAACAATAATACATACATTAAATAAATAAACAATTTGATTTATAAAACAACTTTTTAAAATTTACACATTTATAAACAATAAAATTTGTTTTAATTTAATTTAATTTAAACCTTAAACACCTTAAAATCAAATACAGAAAGAATGAAAATATACTCACAAGTTTCTCTGAGCCCTTTGTAAGTTTACATTTAAAGTAAAAAGGGAATCCAAATGACATAGTCAGTGAAATAAACAGAGTTTTGCCATTATCCCTGTTTGATATATCAAACTTCCTCAAGTAATCAATATTAGACACCAAATGGATTCCTTTTTGAAGATACTCATTATCATCTGACAATTCAAGGCCTTCATTACTTCTCTGAAAACAAATATATTAGCTAATTAAACAGATTAGCTAATGAAAAATACAAAACATAGGTAATCAATACTAATTTGGAAAGTAGAGTCTACATATTGATATAATATTTGGTGAAAACATCAAATCAAAATGGCAGATTGAAGTACATGTCCATATCCATGACATTTAATGATTTATGGTGGCTACTGAACATTTATTAAAATCATACTTGTAACTTAGCTAAAGGACAAAGCAATTCAACCAATGAAATAATATCATCAAATGCAGGCATCATCAATATTCCATCCACTTACTATCGACTACATACATATATTAATAGTCTAGCGCCATAGGGGCGTTGGGGCGAGCGACGGCGTCTATCGCTATAGGTACATTGAGAAAAATCTAGACTTCATATAAGTACTAAATTATTCAAAACTGATATATCATAATAATAGCCGATCGTCGTATCGGCTATAGTAATTGAGGCTCAGCAGCAGTTTAAAGGTCGAGACTAAAGGATTCAGAAAAAATTAATAGGTACAAATATATGCACATACCTTTATTTTAGCTAGAAATTCACTTCGGGAATACAAGGTGGTCCATACGTTAACGTTGTCCGTGATGCATATTTCATACCCATGATCAGTTGAAAACAACAAAAAATAATGGGTTTCTTTAATTCGTTTCCACATAATAACTACAATCACCACAATCAGATGATTTTTATATTTATACAACACAAACAATTTACGTATATTTTCCCGTGAGGAATGACGGAATGATAATGAAGATTATTGACAGATTTTTAGTGTTGCCTGCCGAATAAATAGAAAAAGTGTTGCCAAAGTATAGATAAAATGTAAAATTAATGGTTTATCGATTTTCGTAGGCGAGTAGAGATATTCTATGAATGACTGTGCTAAATGAAATGCTGCATTCAATTTAATATTTTTGGTTGTAGCTGAGTTGAGAATGTAGTAAATAATTATCAATTAATTAATTTTATTCTTAAACCAAATGTTCAGTTTTATAGAATTGATTAAAATTAATATAATTATACAGTTTAATGATTTATTTTTTAATATTTTAACAAGCAAGAAAATTTGTACCACTTGATGACTAGAGTATTGCCTTGAGTAAAGAAATGAAGAAAACCGTTGAACGACAGATAAAAATCGTTTTAGAGTCTGATGGAATGGTAAATAAAAAATAATGAAAGAAAAGATTATTTATTTTTCTTAGCATCCTGCACCTAATTACTTCGTTTATTAATATGTTGTTTTAGTGACGCTGTCGAATTACCTACTATTATCTTAATTGATTAAAAACAGAACCTTTACCTAATGCCGTTTATAATGACAACTGTTATTAAATTATTAAAGTGTAATGTAACAAATTTTTCTCATTTTTTCAGTGTAGTATGCCAGTCTCTTTTTGAAGATGTATGCCTAAGGCTCGAGACACGCTGATAAATAAATTACCTATCTATTCTCGTCTTTTTAGCCACGGTCTATCTGTGTATCAATTTAATTAGTTTATAACGTTGATAAGGCGAAATAGAAATGCGCATTACCGATGCCAAGAACGAGCGTTTCGAAATGCAGGGGTGTCAAGTATGATGCAAAAATCGGAAGATTCGTGCAGTTTCGATTCTCGGGTCATCCAAATACTAAATTTTGGTTATTTTCGTTTTCCTTAAAATCTCGGCAAGTTAATGATGTCCTAGTCTTGGTCCCAGTTGTTGTTTATGGATATCATTTCCTTGTATTATAAATCGGTAGTCATTTTGTTATGACGATAACTAGTCAAAAGTGAATTTAATATTTTATTATACGCCGTTGTGTATCTCCCAATTCCTTTGGGCCTTCAAAGGTTTAAAAAACACTAGGATCGCTGTTGTTTCAGAGGTAAGTTTCCTCTTTGAGGAGTGGTAAAGAGGTGCCTTTCACCTTCACCTTTCACCTGTCGCAAGTGCTTACCGATCACGAAAGTTTAAGGAGATAGCTGTTTCAGATTCAGTGGGAGGAAACGTCTGGGTGTTGTCACTGCGAGAACCAGCGGGACGACACAGTGGTGTGCTCCGGTTGCCTTCTTTGGTAGCTGTCTACAAGGCGAGAGGAGTCATTTTTGTTGATTTTCTCTATTCATAAAAGGAGCTAAAAATGTGAGGTTGGATATGTTTACAGTAAACCAAACTAAATTTATGGTGGGGACGTACATAAACTAAGGTATGTGCATTCTTCCATTTGGCAAGAAAAATATTCTACGCTTCTGTAAGTAAATAAATTGTACCGTAGTTGTCGCGTATCACGTTCGTCGATTTTTAAATCGTGTAGTTTCAAACATGTGGCGATATTTGCAATGCGCAAAGAACCCTCGATACGAAGCGTTTTCTGAAATACGTATTTTATGGCTTGAACGTGAAGAAATGCACGTAAGAAAACTGAGGACTTGTTGATGTAAATTTGCAAATAGGTACTTATTAAATCTGGATAATTATACTTTACAAAACCTCTTGGTTTTCCTTGAAAATCAATAAAATAAAATGATAATGGTTTGATAGACATTTTGCGTCGGCACAAATCATCTACTATCTACATCTTAATTCTATTGTTGTAATTCACATTGTCGCAAGGTTCGAGACTTATACAACTGATTGATCGTGCCCTGTCATAAAACTCTACCTACTAATATGTATCTACATTAACCACCAAATACACATGTTACAGTTACAGTTAGATAATTCGATATCGGATCGTTTCGAAACACTGGATTGGTATTAATATATCACGTGCAGACACAACTGGCAACCAGGACCATAGAAGGGTATACAGGGTGGAATAAATGATGTCATTTATCAACTCCTATGTCGTATCGCAGGCAGGAATGACACCGACGTATGTGTTGTTCGCATACAGTAACATACGGCATGTTTGAAAAAAATGTAGAGGAATTTGTAACAGGTGTTGTCATGAAAATGAATGAATACGTTTTACAATACAAAACTGCAAATAGCTAAATATGGCATGGTACAACTAGTTAAATTCAATACTTTTATGTATTGAAATGGTAAAAACGATTTCTATGAGTTTTGTATGGAATATCTACTAGCATTTTTAGGTCCTAATATTTTTGCTTTCATCAAAAATTATTAGATATTAATGTAGCTGATGATTATTTTTAGACATTTTATATTGTATTGAAAAGTTGAAATGAATTCTTATTAAATGAAGTATCACTTACTTTAATAATTAAGTTTTAGGGCATTAACATTTCTTGTATGCAGAAAGCAAGACAAACTTTAACAACTTGGACGTCTTATTCATTCATAGTAGCTAGCTAGGTATTGCATTAGAGAATTATTCCATCTTCGTGCATATCGGGACGCGTATGCTAAGCAGTATTATACCAGAAGTTCGTCGAGACACGACAAACGGTTCCGCAACTTATAATTAACTCATACTCCTCCGTCGAATACTCTGCAAAGCTGTGAAAATACACGCTGTATGTACGTCGCGTACCGTCACACTGCCAAACTACATGCTGAAACAAACAACATTAAGATCTCTCTATCTAAATACAAATGGGAGAATTAGAAAGATAATCTTCCAAGGCGATTTATTTGTAAATCAGATCAGTAGAATTAAAATATCTTAAATATCTGGAACAATGAAAGGGAGTGTTGAAGTTAATTTCGGTAAACCTCGCAATAGCTTAACGAAGTTTTTTATTGCTTTCCTCGCTGCAATATAAATTCGTTAAATAGCGTCTGTTAAATTTAAGATCGTGGTGCGCCTCGTGGTGTTTGTGGAAGGTCATAAAGAGGTCGAACAATGTGTAGGATTTAATGGTTGGACCGGTTATTTATCTGGCGAATAGCCCGGTATAATGTGCCATCGAAAAACGCTTAGGTGTTAAAGGGAATTACAGGGGCACATCGTATTGTTCTCCCTTTAAATTGATGTCGGGTACAATTGGAACACCTCGAACTACCTGATAACGTTGTAATTGCTTTAATGTATGAAGATAGTGCTCAAATGGTTTCACTTGACCTGTGAAAGTCGGTGGTAATTAAAATCATTTTAATATTGTTTTTTTTAAACGTTGCCCCACTCTCGGATTTTCTCCTGTGTCGTGGGTGTGTTTACAAACATACAAGTATGACACCCAGACCCGGAACAACAATCTGTGGATCACACAAATAATAGTTCCGTGCGGGAATCGAACCCGCGACACGTTGCGCGGCAGCCCAGTTGTGAGGTGGAATGTTATTTTAAAAATGTCCTTGATTAATTTTATTTTTTAGAGACTAATATTTTTTAAAACCACTGTACTGTAGTGATCAACATATATGAAATTATTTTTATTTTTACAGGAACTTTAGAATCATTTACAAAAACTATTATTGCACAATGTAAAAGTCAAACAATTCCGACATATTAGTAGATAGTACCTATTCAAGTACCTACCTACATAATTACAGACAAAGGCATGTCATGTTTTTGTAGGAAACGTATCTGCATTTATAAAAAGTGAATTAATTCACTCAAATTAATTGAAATATAAATGTAATTTAGTATCATTTAAATAAGAAAGATACTTGGAACTCATGTTTCGTAATATTATTTTTCGCGAGAAAGAATACACATGGATAATTTGAAATTATTTTAATGGTAAAAAAATAATTTTAACTGTGTGTTAGAAAATTTTAATCAAGTATGTAATTAAAACTAGTAACATGTTAATTAATTATCTCCAGCCATAAACACAGGAACCGATTGTAGTCTCGCTACGAATATGCTACGCGTATACGCGTCATGTTGCTACGGCGTAGCTAATGCTATTGAATTAGATTTTACGTATCAGTAAAATTACTGCTAATAAGTAAGTTGATGGTACCTATATTTATGAATTAGAATGTTTCAGGCCTTCCTTTATCGAAACAGAGTTGTAATTTTATTCAAGTGACTTCTAAATGTATTAAACAGGTTTTATTTAGCTTGACCTGTTTGTTTGTGTGGGTCAAATTTAGTCATTGGAATTATTCCCCCTTCCTGACCACAGATCAATCTGATTCTAAATACAACACTCATGACAATACACATTAAAACCGTTGGACATACAAATTAATTATGTGTAACTTGTTTTATGTGTTAGAACTGAAAGAGAGTGCCGTTGGTCGACTATCGAGTAAAAAGTCCAGAAGTCAAAATCTCAAACTCAAACTTTAACCAAAAAGGGACCAATATCACAGAACATTTAGGTCTCTGCTTGGCCGAATTTAATTGGGGCTTGGCCCAACTTCGTGATGTATAGCCATTACCGGCTATCTGGAACAGACTTAGTTCTATGGATGGATGGAGATGGCTAATGTTTTGGATGTATGGCAGATTAAGGTATGTTATATGGCTTTTATTTTATCGCCTAGTAAGAATAACACACGAGACACGCACAATATGAACCATAATAGTCACATAAATGTAAAGAAAAGTTACAAGAACTTTTTTTCCAATATCAGTATGACTAACAGAAAGCGTCGCCGTCGTGTTGTGGACAATACTGCTCTGCTGAACAGCGTTGCACTGACACTATCGCTGTCGCTTCCCCTTCCTGCATGCTTCTAAATAAATGTAGACAAAGCAATGATAGCTTGACAGAAACAATAATAGAGTGTATTCTTAGTTGTATTTTT